CCTTTGGCTGTGGCTCTCAACAATACTTATATAGTTTCAGTGGGATGCAAAACTTTCTTTTAGCTAATGATAGTGGCATCATAAAGAGTAAAAACTCAACCCCCCAGAAAACAAACAACCCAATCAATAGATGGGCCAAGGAACTGAACAGACACTTCGCAGAAGAAATACAATCATCAACAGATATGTGAAAAAATGTTCAACATCTCTAGCAATTAGAGAAATGCCAATCAAAACTACTCTAAGATTTCATCTTACTCCAGTCAGAATGGCAATTATCAAGAATACAAGAAACAATAAATGTTGGCAAGGATTTTGGGGAAAAGGCACTCATACATTGCTGGTGAGAATGAGAATTGGTGCAACCGTTACGGAAAGCAGTGTGGAGATTTCTAAGAAAACTTGGAATGGAACTACCATTTGACCCAGCTATCCCACTCCTCATTATATACCCAAAGGACTTCAAATCAGCATGTCGATGTCTTGGGGGGCACCAGGATCAGGAGGCACCACCGCTTTGTAGGTTCAAACAGCAATTCTTTATTCCGGATCTCACACCAGCCTCCACACGCGTTCAGGGGCAATTCCCAATATGTCCGTTCCCAAATCCTACTCCACGAGGCTTTTTCCAAATCCCGTTTTAATCTCACGAGAACTCAACGGGAACAAACAGCAGGAACACCCTAATCCCAGCAGCCATAATCTTCAACCTCAACTTCCCTAAAACCCATATTCTTAAACCGGGAAACGCCTTAAACGGGGAACACCCTAAACCCAAGGACCGGGATACTTCCTCAAACCTGCAGGATACTTCCTCAAACCTGGATCCACCCTCGATCACCTTGAGCAGGGTCATCTTACTAAAGCATACATGCAATGTCCCATCGAATGTCCTAAGCAGCATGGGGTACGCTGGCAAGGAGATTTTGATGCGTCATACCTACTTGGTAATGGCCCTCAGCATCAGCATACTATAGTGACACAGCCACATCAATGTTTATAGCAGCTCAATTCATAATGGCTAAACTATGGAACCAATCCCCCCCAAAACAAAGACCAAATGTTTTCTCTGATATGCAGATGCTAATTCACAACAAGGTGGGGGCTAGGGAAAAATAGAGGGACTTTGGATTAGGTAGTGGGGAGTGAAGGAAGGAGAGGGACATGGAGGTAGGAAGGGTAGTAGAATGATGCAGACATTATTACCCTGGAACCTATATGAGTACACSACCAGTGTGATTCTTCTACATCATGTACAACCAGATGAATGAGAAGTTACACTCCATTGATGTATGACATGTCAAAATGCATTCTACTGTCTTGTATAACTAATTAGAACAAACAAAAATGATAACATATGAACAGATCAGTCACTATTTATAACTATTTAATTATCAGAGAATTCTGTAACAATTTATTGAGAAAATTATTAAGACAGATAGGAGTCCATCAGGTTAGCTGAATACAAGATCTCCATATGAAAATAAACTTCTTAGTGGGTGACAAATTGCTAAGAAGGACTTTGAGTCATAGATCACTATGTCATTATTGGCCTGTAGCTCAGAGGAGTTCAAAGTACAAAAAGACATTGCTCCCTCAAGAGTCATTCTTTACTATCTTTCCCTTCACATGACATTTTCATGATTTAAAAATTTTTTTAAACAATTTTTTTGTAGTTGTAGATGGACAGAATGCTTTTATTTTATTTGTTTATTTTTATGCTGTGCTGAAGATCAAACCYAGGGCCTCATGCATGCTAGGCAACTGCTCTACAACTTAGCTACAGCCTCAACCCTCATGATTTAATCTAGAAAGATAAAAGGGGAATAAAATTCCCTTGTTTTAGCAATAATGATAATAATGATATTATGTCACCACTCATGGATATAAAAATACTTGGCTAAGTTCCTGAAAACACGCATTAGCTTTTTGTTGTATACATTAAATATTTTAAAATAAATTTTTAAAATGTATTTATTTTTTAGTTGTAGATGGACACAATATCTTTATTTTATTTATTTATTTTTATGTGGTACTGAGGATAAAACCCAGGGCCTCACATGTGCAAGGTAAGTGCTTTACCCCTGAGCTACAACTTCAGCCCACATTTAATATTTTTTTGAATATTAAAATATGTAGATCGGGTAGTGTAGATCCATGGTAAAGAGTTGACCTAGCATGAGCAAAGTCCTGGGGTCCAATTCCCAGAAGCAGGAAAAAAGAAAAAAAAACCACAATGATATCAGGTTTTTAGTCAAAGCTCTAAGAACTTCTGCTAGTCCCCAAATCACCAACATACCCTAGGTTAGAGACTCCATGGAGACACTCTCTTATCCTTCCCTTGATCCTGCTTATCTGGTGCCATTCTTGCCCTTAGGGGTCTTCAGGGTAGTGAGCAAGCTGGTGCAGCCACCACTCACATGCCACAGACCCCTGCCATAGACCTAGCGCACCCAAAGCCCACTCAGACTCTGGCTGCAAGCCCTCATGTACCCAGGGAGGCCCACTGTACAGGTCATTGGACAT